AAGAACCTGGCCAAGTGATGATGGTGCGCCCATGGAGCCTCAACTACCCCTACACGATCCTGCGCAAGACCAAGGCCCAGCCGTACGTGTACCCCCTCTTCCGCTTCCTGTACATGATCCGCCGCAAGGTCATGATGAACAACTACACCCTCCTCAAGATGAAGTACCGGGTTCGGGAGCAGGTGAAGAAGCCATGGGGAGAATGGATGATCGTGCTAGTGAACCTGAGCCCACCCTACTTGGGGGCAGCACGGGTGATCGTGTTCTTCTGTCTCCGGGCGCACAACCAGGAGAACCAACACAGACTCAAGCACCTCCAGCAGGCCAGCTACACCATCCTCTACCTGCACAACAAGATCCTGCTGGTGACCGTGGTGTACCTTCCCTTCTACCAGACCCTGCAGTTGACCGTGGTGTTCTACCTCTACCTGTACAACCTGATGCTGCCGTTCTACCTGGACTGCATGATCCTGCCGAAGACCATGGAGCCTGTGCCTGCACTCCGACTACGACAAGACCCTGCCGGTGACCATGGTGAAGTTCCCCCTCTACCGCAACCTGCTGATGGCCCTGGTGTTCTACCTCTACCTGTACAACATCATGATGCTGCCTCTATCGTTGACCCTGATGTTCTACCTCTACATGGAGAACCTCATGCGGCTGCTCTACCTGGACTGCAAGATCCTGTCGGTGACCCAGGCGCTCTGCCACTACCTGAACTACACCCACAAAGCGTTGAGCAAACCCCTCCAGTTGACGTTTGTGATGTGGCCGCTGACCCATATGATCCTCAACAAACCCTTCGACCTCGTCTACCTGCTGAACAGTCTGCTAGCAGCTCATGTACCCAGGCTGCCGGGGAGAACCCTGGGAGTATTCCTCTGTCGGCTTTGCACCCAAGGGATGCTCGGAACCTACCAGAACAGGAACGACGGGGTGAGGGGCGACTTATCTGGTCACCTGACCTTCCTGAAGATGACCGGAGCAGCACCTCACTACCATTGCTGGGAATGGCGCTGGAGAACTTTGGCTTGCCAGTTGCACCTACAGGGGATGCCACCAATCTTGCTGCAGCACTACGTGATGGACGAGACCTACGTAAAGCACGCCGTCGACGTGAACAAGCAGATGATGAGATAAGGTCGTACTATGCTCCAATGACAAGAGTGGGGAGACATGATCCTTCTTCCTCTTCTTCAACCTGGAACGTGGGGAGAGATGTACCTTTGACCTCGTCAAGTGGTGGTGGGGGCGATTTTCCAGCGTCTTCTTCCTCG